TACTCGTGTTTGTTATCATCAACAGTTGTATTAATAGAACTACACCACTCTCATCTGGCCTCATGTTCGCACGCTTTTCATAAGCAGTTATATATTGTGTTGGACTGTGGTCGTGTGTTGGTGCTAGAGGCAAGAACGTGTCCCATACAGCTCTTCTTTTAAGACACTAGAAAGCTTGCGACATAAATGATCTTGCGAGGATAGTGACCAAGATCAGTCTATCGATTAGAATGGCGAGCGCTTTTAAGTTTATAATTTCAAGTTTATGTCACGGTAGATAAGATATTTACAGCCCCTTTCTCAGCTCTGCGTTGGAAAGTACACCACACCAGCTTCGATCCCCAGACCTGGCTTTTTTATGTTAGCGCGCGCCCGACTCTCTCTGGCGTGGAGGTCTCGCTGGGACTAAACGCGTCCAGGAATTGCTGTGTTAGGCATTTTAAGGAGAGGCGGCCTACGGCCGCCAGGTGGTTCCTGGCCATAACCCTTTAGAAACATCTGATCTTGCGATGTCCGCCGATCGAGGTCCAAAAGGACATTTTGCGCGAAAACTTGGGGAGATGTGAGATTTTCAGGTGAGCAAGATTCGTAACCGTTTCGTGGACCGGACGACGAATGGATGGAATCCGTGTGGGAGTGGCAGGGATTGATTAGGACTCCTTACTCGGGAGAAGACAACCACCGAGTTAGTGTGGAACTTGAAATTTCACGGGCCCGCAGACACATACCGTGACGCATCGAAACGATACACAGCATATCGAGCCGTCAAAACATACACGTTGGAAGGTCATGAACGGTGGTGAATTCAGCAGCAAGAATCTCAATGGGCCTGTTACTCAGGAACTGCTCCTTAAGGCCCACCTTAAAAATAGGAATTCCTTACGCTCCTTTCTTGTGGAAGTTACAGGTCCAATACTGTCAATCGGTGATGGGTAGGTCTTCAGAAGACCATTCTTTCGAATGTCAAGAAGCATAGTTGGAGGTTGCTTCCACCAGGCCCTTCAATGGAGAAAATACTGGCGTAGCTCGAACTAGTCAAGAGAGCTTTCTACCTCGCGGCTGGTCTATCGGGCCTTCCTTTCGAAACCAGCGCTTGACGTGCGCACAAACTATGTAGTGGGCTACATACATTTGAGTACGATGTTATTATTGCACGTCGCTGCTCAACCTTTGAACCGCGCCAATGGCGTTCTTGCTTCCCCACCAGTGGGGACTGGGCGCGTCGGCGAGACGTGACGCGGAATTGAAAGCGCGTCACAGGCGCAGGAGGTCACGTATTGTGGATGACCGTGGAGTGACTACTGAAGTTCATCAATCAACTTCTTCAGCTGATAGTTTTCGTCGAGATGTTCATCACTTCCGTTCTGCAGTCTCTCGCCTACCTCGCTATCGGACTAGACCACGGAGTCTTCGGTGTCGACCCTCCTAATGTCCAACGTGTCAAAAAGATTCTTCCTGAGAAAGAATTCGAGTATCTGTTCCCCCACCGCAATAGACAGGCAGGACCGAAGCCGTATACCTACTCCGGCTTCCTCGCTGCGGTGGCCAAGTTCGATAAATTTTGCAACGACGCTGCCGGAGATCTAGACTTGGATACAGCATGCAAGAAAGAACTCTCCACCAGTTTCGCCCACTTCACTCAAGAAACCGGAGAGAACAGCGGCTGGGGGCCGGTCCCTCGCTGGCGTCAAGGTCTCTACTTCCCCAGCGAAGTCGGTTGCACTGGCACTTCATGCCCGTATTGCTCGCCTGATGCTGCGTATCCATGCACGCCGGGTCAAGGCTATTATGGTAGAGGTGCACTGCAGCTGTCATATAACTTCAACTACGGCCCGTTTTCGGAGTTCATTTATGGTGACAAGTTGAAACTATTGAATAACCCGGATTCCCTCCTTACTGCTGAGGACGGTATGCTAGCCTTCGCTAGTGCTATATGGTTCTTGATGACCCCACAGCCGCCTAAGCCCGCCATACATGACATCGTCGTTGGGAAATGGCAGCCCACTGCCAGAGATAAAGCTGGAGGACGCTATCCAGGTTTCGGGGTGACTACCCTCATCATCAACGGCGCCTTGGAGTGCTCTAACCCCAACGATGCCAGAGCAGTGAATCGCATAGACTTCTACAAGAACTTCACTAGCTACTTCAACGTGGCTACGGGTGATCATCTCTCATGCGGCGGAATGAAGGCCTTTTAAGGTCGTATCAAATGGTATTTCATTTCAAGCATCGAACACACTTGATACTCGTCAGTGGGTTCGAATTGTTCATTACAATCTAACTACAATTTCGCCAGAATTGTCTTTTTTTAATCTCTACCCAGCGGGTTGCCGATTTTCTGTCCGAGTCAACTGCGCTCAAGAATCGGCGTGTTTCGTTTCAGTCAGATCTTCGGGGGTGAGAGAGAGACAAACCATCCAATCACCGATATTTGAGTTCTTCACTTTGTGTAAACTTAACGAACTCACTGACGGACAGCCAAACACAGACTGTTCAATGAGGTCATCAGTTTTATACATCAGAAGGAACTAATAACTGAGCAAATATTTCCTCAGTTGTGATCAGTTGTCCTCAGTTGTGACTCATGATATCGTCGTTGGGAAATGGCAGCCCACTGCCAGAGATAAAGCTGGGGGGCGCTATCCAGGTTTCGGGGTGACTACCCTCATCATCAATGGTGGTTTGGAGTGCTCTAACCCCAACGATCCCAGGGCTTTGAATCGCATAGAATATTACAAGAACTTCACTAGCTACTTCAACGTGGCTCCGGGTGATCATCTCTCTTGCGGCGGAATGAGGCCCTTCTGACCGATCGTTTCCATCAAATGATCTGTTACTTCAAGAACCGCACTAACTTGACCCTCACGGGCGGGTCCGAATCGTCATTAGACAACTAA